CACGCGGTGCTCGCGGGTTGTCTCCCCACAGCTGAGCCCCGAGTTCACGCAGCGGCTGAACAACACGATCCGTGAGCTGCTGCAGCAGGTGGAGAGAGGCCTCAAGTCTGCCGACCCGCACACGCGGTGCTCGCGGGTTGTCTCCCCACAGCTGAGCCCCGAGTTCACGCAGCGGCTGAACAACACGATCCGTGAGCTGCTGCAGCAGGTGGAGAGAGGCCTCAAGTCTGCCGACCCGCACGACTGCACCGTGTACACCGGCAGGGAGGATTCGGGTGGGATGGAGCTCTCCGGAGGAGAATTCCAGGTCAGGCCGAGGGGTTTGGCCACTGGAGTGAGCGCAGAAGGTCCGTGTCAAGAACGGTGCTGCCTCTGCGCGTGTCAGCCCACTCACACGAGGGATGCCTTGCTCAGCACTCCCCACTCTGGGAGCAGCTGCAGGCACCACAGTGTCACAGGGAGGATCGGGTCTTCTCTTGGTTTTTAGTGCTGAACTTGCACTGCAGAGAAAGCCAACACCTCCTGCGCAGACCTGAGAGCCTTCCAAGGGCCTGGCTCCCAGTGTGGCCACAGTGATGGCACGAAGGCACTGCTCCATCCAGTGCTCTGTGAAGTGATGCACGTGGGAGGTCGTTTGCAAGGAGTCCTTGCCTATGGCAGCAGTGAGCTGATGACCTGAGACAACATCCATCATTTCTGTGTGGGCTAAATTTCTCTGATGCCATTGTCTGATTGGCAGGTTGCTCCATTCCCGTTCCCCAGGTAGTGCCCCTCCACTTAGCCAGGGCTAGGTCTTCTCCAGTACCTGCTGGGAGGAGCAGAAATGCAAATGTGAGTATAATGAAGTGTGGAAGCTTTCCTCACACTAACTCCTGTGTGCAAAGCTTCCAGGAGCTTGTCTTTCTCCCGGTTTTCCTTCTTTGGGAACATGTTCTGCCCTGCCCTCCCTGTTCCTAGCCACTGGCACCAGGGAGGACACACCTTTCTCTGCACCTCATCCTTAGCTGCTGCTGTGTGCTTTGTCAGCACTTGTGCCTTCTGCACTGTGCCAGGCTCTAGGAACAGACCCTGGGGTAGCTGCAATTAATCTCATGCTTGCTGCAAGACTTTCTGCTGCTGCTGTTTTTCTGGCAATACACTGCAATCCTAAATGGCAAGTTTTGCGTGGGTGCTGTGAACTTGATGCTAACACGTTGCTTGGGAGAGTGGTGTTCGTTGTGTGGTGCTAAACTAACATTGAAGCTTCATGACAGCAGTGCCAGAAATGCCTGCTTAGAAATTTTAGTAAGGCACACAGGCACTGAGAGCACTCCAGAGCAGTTCATAAGAAATGCTAGGATGCCAGTATTCAATTCCAGCGTGGGAGAACATTGATTTAATCCGTTGCTGCCTGGCAGCACTCTGCTCCTGCTGCCTGTGAATTTATGCATTTTTGCTCAGTGCTAACTGATTTCTGCTTGGGAGACATATTCATTTTTCCAGTCTGTGTGACCTAGCTCTGAGGTCTTCTCAGGTGAAAAGCACTCTGCAGGTAAAGATGCTCTTCAGTCATGAAGACTCTTCAGTCCTGCTTGGCAGGATGGTAGAGTCTGCCTCTGGTGAGAATAATTCAGGAGATAAGGCAGAACAATGAGCTGATACTAGGAATACTCTGAAAGTCTGCTGGTAGAAGGTAAACACCTTTCCCTGAGGCCATGTTCCCTTAAGGTGAGCCTAAGATGCTTCATGTTGGAAAGTGACTGCAGTTGTGAAAAGGTGGTTGAGAGCTCTGGTAGGATTTAAGCTTGGTTTTATTTGGAAGGGAGTTTTTCAAGAAGGATTCTTCTCTTTTCCTCACAGAGATCATTCCTCATTGGGCCCATGACCTTCTTGCCATGACTGATAGGATTAGAATAAAATCCATGGATTCCTGCAGGTCATGGCCAGCAGAATGAAGTTTGCAGATATCACACTGTAACTTTGTCACCCTCCCTTCTTTTCTAATCCTAGCTATTAATTTATTCAGTGCTGCTTTCCACAGACAAAATTAATTGGGCCAAGACAGCAGCTTTTTCCTGTAATTGCTTATGTAGAAAAGGCTTGTTGAGTATCTCCTCATGTAAATCATTGCCCAGCAGTCTGAAATCAACCTGCACTCTCGTGGCTGCTAATAAGAGAGATTTGAAATACGGCTCTCCTGGCGCAAGCTCGGCGTGAAATGGAACACACTTGAATGTACTACATTACACCCAGTAATACACAGCATATGCTCTCGTGGCACTTTGGGGCCTGTTTCTTTCCCAGCACGCTTGACAGAGCCCTGCTGCCCCAGCCTGCCTTCATGCCAGGGAAGTCATGGCTTCTTGGCACGTGGAGTTGGAGCAGAGGGAGGGAAAGACTTACATTTTCAGCACAGAGGCAGTGAAAACACACTTTGTATCAAGATCATCCAGCGTACGGCTGAGTGCCCTCAAAGCACGTTTGAATCAGCTTGTTACGGTTTAATTCAGTTCCCTGCAGAGATCAGGGCCCCGTGGGCAGCGCCTGGTACGTGCCTGGGTACAGACCAGCCTTGGCTGTCGTGTTCTGCTTTGGCTTCTAATCAGTTTAGGAGACTGCTGGAAGAGCTTTTGTGGTCTTAATTTGTTCACCGGTATGGCAGTGTTGACTGAGGGAAGGTAAACTGCTGTAAGCTAATTCTGAGTCGGAGGCACTTCAAATCCTGGCAGAAGTACAACTGCCTCATCCATTTTCAAACAGATTAGCATGAGGATGCTGAGGAGTATTTACATGCCTGTTGGTATTTCTCAAGAGTGCAAAAGGCTCCAAAGACTGCCTTGACTGGGAGCTTAGATGATGGAAAGGGAATGGAAGGAAACTGACTTGACTCCTGTCACCTCTTAGCTGACTGCCGAAGCTAGGAAGCTCCTGAGTCCATTGCCTGCTAAACTGCTGTGTCCTTCCAAGGTGATGAGGTATATAAGGGAGAGATTCCCCTTCCCCTGCATTATGGTAGTGCCTTTGGAATTTGTTTCCCATGTTTCCCTTCTCTGGCAATGTCATAGTCATGGCTTTCAGAGCTTGAGGGCCTCTGAAACAGACCAGCTGGCCTGCCCGGTCCACAGCTTCTGGCGGCCCGTTGGCAAGTGGGGATGAGGAGCTGGGTTGAGTTGCCTTTGATGGGACTTTTCAAAAGACAGCAGATGAAAGAAAAGTCACTTCAGAATGGATAGAAATTCTGACTGTACCAGTTCAGGAAAGCTTCTGGAAAAACACCTTTCATTCACTTCAGTGCAGTATCTTGCTTTTAACCTCAGAACCCAGAAAACTTGCATTTCCTTGAGCAAGTTCTGTTCAGAGAACTGGAAATCCTCAGATAATCCCTACGGAGCAAGAAGCAGTGAGGCTGCATTTGGTGAGAGATAATAGAGTGCTTTGTGTCACCCACATAAACCACAATCCTGCCAAGTGCTTGCTGGCTAGTTTTTCTGGGATCTGTTCTTGGAGATGGTCAGTATTTGACTGGACAAGGCTCAGAGCAATGCCATGTAAATTTGAAGCTGGCCTCACTTTCAGAAGGTTGGATCAGATCACTTCCATCAACCCCTCCTAAGCTAACCTGTTGTAGGATTTTGTGATAGGGTAAAAAGGTTTACAAAAAGAAGCTTTTTTTACCCGGGTTTTAAGGTAGGAGAGGCTGAGGCATCCTGAGTAATCCCCATGTCCCATAATCCACTAGGAGGGCAAGCTGCAAGCTTCAGTAGAATGCACTTGTGGCTCCCCAGACAGTCTAAACATGGAAGGATGCAGCTTTCCAGAGGAGATGTCTCACTGTCCCCTGCAGCATGGCTTTGGCATGCACTTAGGAGCACAACATAACTTCCCGTGCATCTGCACCCAATAGGATGCTTGTTACCCTTTGGGCTGGGCAATAAAGCTATGCCATCCCTGCTCTAACTTTCACCCCATGCCCAACTCATTAAAATGACATCAGGTTTCTCACTAGAAACCATCAGGCTTGAACTATGTGCAGAGATGGGTTTCTCCTTCTGCCCTGACACCTTGTTTTGAGGGTGCCAGATGACTTATTTCTCTGAGTCAGCACAAGCTCTCAGACATCTTTATTACTCTAGATGGCCAGTTTGGAACTGGTTCAAATTAGGTCAAAAATACCCTCTTGTGGCAACCCACTGTCCTTTGTGGAAGGACCAGCTCAGTTCCTGGTGGGGCAAGTATGCCTGTTTGGAACAGCCTAACAGCATAACTTTGTAAAGATAGTGCAATCCAGCATAAAGAGCAAGTCTAAACTTGCAGGGAAGCTGAGGCACAGCTTTACTTCTCTTTGATCAGCAGAAAGGTGGTGTGGATGAGATAGTCTTTCAGCAGTGCTTTAGCTCATGAGCAAGAACTTTTCTGGCATCTCTAGCAATGCCTTCTCTGTTGAAAGCAATGGTTGCTGCAGTCAGGGCATCAGCACTAGCCAGTTGGTACAGCTGGATGCAAACAATTCCACTTCTGCTGTGTACATTTAAGTCTCCTCCTCTGCCCTGCTCAAAAGAAATCTCTAATCCAAAACACCCCTCTGCATCAACCATGCTGCTCGTACAGGAGGGCAAGGGGAGGGAGGTGCTGTTTGCTGTTCTCATGAGGATGTTAAACAGCCAGCCAGGCTTTGTGAGGTGTGCAGAATTGACTTTTGCCTCCCCATTCCCTTCAGTGAGCAAGCACCTCGGTCATTGACACTGCAGTGTGTGGGCTTCCTGCACACTGGAGGTGGCAGTTTCAGTCATCAGAGCCCTGCTGAAGGATATCTCAGCAGCAAGTGTTCTCTGCAGGCCTGCACGATTTAGGGCTGGCTGATGTGTTCTCCATCACATGTGGCTATGGTGCAGGTCTTATAATTGCAAGGAGCACAAAACTTGCAGTTCTGAGAAACTACAGAGAAGAAAGGCCAATCAACAGAACAAAGCCCAGACGTCTTTGGCAGTAGCGTGCCACAGGTAACCATTGCATGGCAGTTCTGTTGGAAACAGTCAGGAGTCTCAGAAGTCAGAAAAATACGTCACGTTTCCAGCTGGGACATTGAACACAGACCTCCAGGGCACACAGAAATGGAGCAGAATCAGAGTTTACGTAGCCCCATGTGACTGATGATGCCATCTGTGCTGAGCACTTAAAGCATGCCCAACAAAGACCCAGTCAGTCAGCAAACCCTACCTGGTCAGCTGGGGTGTATTTTTGGAGTGTATTATTGGAGAGCGAACGAGGCAGAGATCTGTAATAGCTTCTTCAGAGCAGCACTGCCTGGCTGAGCTAGTTTCAGGTGGAAACTTATCTCCATCCTGCACTGTCTCTGAAATACTCTGCCTGCATCTTGGCACGCGGATGAATACAGAACATCCCCCACCCAGGTGACTGCATTTTGTGTCTGTCTACATACATCTGTCAACATTGCCTCTTTATGCTTGGACCTGCCCTCCCCTGGTGGCCTTCCCTGCTTTGGGGCTCACAGACAGCAGCACAGCAAGCAGGAGGCTGAATGCAGCACTGCTTGTGCCCTTCTGGTCAGCCTGGGAGTATGAATTCCTTGAGGCTTTAGATTCAGTTTGTTAGGCCTTTGGGTTTTAAGCAAAAAGGAGAAATGAATGATTTGGAGAAGCAACTCATCCCTTCCATCCTTGAGTACAGGTCAGTGGGGTTTTTGGGAGTCTTTCCAAAGACAGTTGGGCCTGGGAGGAAAGGGGGCAAGAAGTGCTTTAAAAGAGGAGAGGCAAAGAAATCAGAGGGAGACAATGCTGAGACACTTTCTAAGAATGCAATCCTACCAGTGGTCTTGGCATGGTAGTTATGTACATAATTAGAGTGGTATAGTGGCAGTGGGAATAGAAGCTACATACAAAGCAAAAAGTTGAATATTAAAGCAGATAGGAGTGCAAATTGTGCTCAGACAGCTATCAGGCCTATTAGAGTCTAAAAGCTGTGCTAGGTGCCAAGTAAATCAAGGAGAGTCACTTGACATTTGCTAGCTGGAAAAGGAGGGTTCCCCTTTTAAGGAAGGGCTTCATATCCACATCCTTACAGACTTGAGTGATGGCATGGTACATCTGAGCTCTCTCTGGAATTGCTAACACTGAACTGCTTAGAGAGAGGACAAGGTTATTAGCTTCAGCAGTAAATTGAAATTTTATACATAATATACATGTAGAATTGAATTGTCTGTAGCACAAAACTTTGGAGATTACCCATGCAAAATGAGAAAATGATCTAAATTTGAAATTGTCCTCAGAACCATGGAAGGTAATTTTGTTGTGTACTTGTCCCCTTCACCTTACTACATCAAAATCCGCAGAGATTGGCTCTGTTAATTTTGACTTAAATGCAGGACCTGAGTCTTCTTAGAAATGGTTACTGGTAAGGGGATCAATAGACTTTTCTCAAAGCAATGTAGGTCAGTAGCTTTCTTAAATGCATATTTGAGGATGTCTCCCAGATCAGAAGGATGGTTCAAATGTGGCAGACCTTTCAGACACAGTTACTGTGCACTCCTCAGTTACCTGCTAAAAGCTTCAGGAGCTGGATGAAGACAGGGCAGAGAGCAGCAATGGATGTGACTGCTCAGTAGCAGAGTTGTTTCTGTGGCTGACCAGCCCACTGAAAACCTCCAGGGAGGACCATGCAGCCTTTTCCTGCTTTCCATGTAGCTGCTTGTGTTTCAGACAAGGGCTGATCTCATGTGTGATGTGCTGCAGAGAAGAGTTGGACAGCCCCTTTCTCAAAGGCTTGGGACCTGCTCAGCAGCAGGAGATAATGTCCAGGGAGCTATAACAACCTTGCTGGTGCTTCCTAGTGGGAGTGAAGATTAAAAAAAAAGAAGAAAATAAAAAATAGAGGCAAGTAGGATGTTTTAAGGTTGCTGCTTCTCAGTGCTGATGCAGCATCACCTGTTTTTTAAAATCCAATTCATGCTGAGTGACTCTGCCCTCTGAGGGTAACAACTCAGCACTGCTCTGCCACAAGTCCCATCTTCCCAAAGATGACTTTTTATTCCTCCACTGTTAAGCAAGTCACAGGTACAGTTTATGGATTTCGGTGGGTTTGTCTCGGTCTCATCTTTTGATTCTCACTACTAAAATTACATGTAACACACGTGTCAGCCCTGCTGTCCTCCAGGCTGTCCTGGGTCAGACACTGCTGTTTGTCTTGACCTGCAGCCCACTCATGAGTGTCATCAGGTACAAAGGGATCACAAAGCACAAAAAGAAGCCGTGGATGCTGCAGCTGTGGGTTATGTCCCTGGATGAAGCTTGTCTCTAAGGCAGGTGCCCTAGATGAGGCTGAGGGCCAGGCTTTTAGGTTCATTGTAACAGTCAGGGTGCAGAGCAGGAAGGGTAAAATTTTCCAGTGTGTACAGCCTTTATGTTCCTTTTGCAGGCATTGCTTTGCTGTATTTGCACCTGTACGATGTGTTTGAAGACCCAGCCTACCTTCAGGTGGCCTATGAGTACGTGAAGAAGAGCCTGAGCTGCCTGACCAGACGCTCCATCACTTTCCTGTGCGGCGATGCTGGGCCCCTGGCAGTGGCTGCTGTGGTCTACCACAAGCTGAACAACCATAAGCAGGCAGAAGATTGCATCACTCGGTAAACACTTGGTTATGTCTTTGACCTAACATTCCTCTTGCTCGTAGAGCTGCTCTGCGCTTGTGTGGGACACCCTCTACCAAGCTTGAATACATTTTGTTGCAGTCCTGTGTGAGAAATAATCCAGTAACTTAGCAAGGCTGCACAAACTTTCCTGGTGAAAGAGGTGGCTTAAGGACAAACAGGCTTGCATGGCAGCCTGCAGGCTGGGGAGCAGGGATATTGTTCAGCTGGCATTGCCATCTTAAAAATAATTCTGATGAACACAGGAAGAAAAGAGTGCCAAAATTAAAAACAAAACAAAAAACCCCAGAAGGTGGAGTTTGGTGTCTTTTTGAGAACCCTTCAATTTAGCTTTGCAGCCATTTTGATGAAAAGGAGAAATGTGGTAGGATTATTAGATTTAATTTTGGCACTCACTTCCACTTGCTATTTATTAGTTGACTTTGACTTAAACCTAAGATTGACAGCAGCCCTTTCAAGTGCTGAATGCAGCTGGTTATGATTCATTTATTTCTATTTCCTGCCTTTCCTCGACTGTTTCAAATGTATTTTTGTTGGGTACTTAAGACAAGAAAAGGACAAACAAGGAGTCCTAGATCAGCATGTGGCAGAGGAAGGAAAACACTTAAGGAGATGCAGTTGCAAGCTTTTCTTGCTTAATGGAGATCAGTTTTGAGAAGGTGAGAAACAGCCCTGTAGAGAGTTTCCATTCACACCTGGTCAGCACAAAAAAGGACAAACCCCTCTGACACTTCAGGACAACACTGAGTGCCCTTAAACAGCCATGAGCAAGCGATGCAAAATAGCAATTAAAACAAGCCACGGGTGGGAATCAGAGGTGCCTGTATGGTTTGGACACCAAGTTCCCACTCCCTTAAGTAAGAATAGCTTCTGGTTTATGTGGATATGGATATGAGGACAGAACTAACACTCTTTAGTCTTGGAATAATCCATGGGTTAGATTTTGCTTAATACTTTGACAAAGTGGCAACTCTCACTATGATTAATATGTTTGCTAACAAAAAGGGAACTAACCTGTCAAACAGTACTGGTCAGTCATAGTCAATGCATAAGCCCCAGGCTGGGAAAAAATCCCTAATTCATGTTTTCTTGCTGAGCTCTTCCCTCCCTGTATCCCTCCTGTTCTGCCTACAGTTTAGTGGCAGAATGAAAACTTGTGATGATTTCTGCACTGCCATCTAATGGTATCATAAAGGCAGAACCTTGGAAATGGGTTTCTTCATGCATCTGAGAGGAGGAAAAAGAAAAACATGCCTTTCTCAAAGGAACAGTTATACTGTCCTTATTCTGCCACCAGTTCCCAGAGCAGTTAGCCTGAGCATGGTCCTTTAAAAACACGCTATTTCTTTGAGAAGTAGCTCCCTTAATCAAAACTCTTAAGTGGGTTTTGAGTATGCTGTTTAGTTGCAGAACAGTTCCTAAGCTACGCAGTGCAATTGCAGAGCTGTAGGGAGCAAGGGCCTCTCTCTGTCTTTTAAAGCACCTCATCTTTACAGAGCCTGTGCGGAGAATCCATCAGGCAAGTTTTACCTGCAGTGGAAGAGTCAGAAGCTTGCTTTTTTCCTAAATGAGTTCATGACCAACAAATACGCTTTTATGCTCTGGAGAGACTTTTTTTTTAGGGCAGCCCATTTTCAAAGAGCCTGTGAAAATATAAGACATGTTCCAGGAGACCTCTTTTCTCTGTGACCTCCCACCAATTCAGAAGGTCAAAGGTTTGCTTTCAGAGCCAGTGGTGTACAGAAATCCCATCTTGCTCTACAGCTGCCTTGCTTTGCCCAGAAACTGTTGGTTGTTGACAGTTGAGGTAATAGGCTGATGTGTGAATAGGAGTGAAAAGGCTCTTCCTTTCAGAGAACTTGATTTACTCCTCACACTTGGGAAGTGCATTCTGCACACAGTCAGTCCAGCAGCATCCCAGGCATCTCTTGTTGCATGCATGCCCACATTTCAAACACAGCAGAAACCACTGGCAGGCTTCCTCCCTGGATGGGCCTGCCTGGAAAGCAATTAGAGTTAGAAGCAGTTATGCATAAGGTGCAAAAGCAGTAATTCCACCTGCTCCGGATTTTCCCATGAAAAGAGGATTTCACATGCAGAACTGAGAAAATCCCTA